ATTTCACCAATCACAGTAAATTTTTACAAAAATTAAGGCGATGTTTAGCAGCCAATCATACAAAACTCCCTCATGCTGCTTTATAAGGGTTATCAGACACTTTCGCATAGTAAAAGTGAAAAGAAAGGTCTTGACCGAGAGAAAAATATTTGCTTTTACTGAGGAGATAGCGTGTGGGTAAAAAAAAAATAACGAGAAAAAATCACACCATAATATCACAAAACTTATCAAAGCGAACTCACATAATCGGCGTATATGCACCTTTTTATCTGGTCCCAGCTTGGGCCTTAGTCTAAATGCACGTTTTTTACTCTCTGTAAATGCACTCTTTATAAAAAAATTTTATATTTTAGATTAGTATTATATGGATTTATATATCTATAAATGCACAACCTCTTTAAACGGCACAGTGCATTTACCTTGTTTATTCCGATTATTGGAAGAAACCGTACACAGAGTGGATATTGGAGACATGGGAAACTTATATTTATGAAAATCATTTAGCATCATGTCGAAGTCATACAATTCTTTGACAGCTGAACTAAAGGTTCTGCTTGATAACTTAAACCCGATACAAGAGAAGAAGCAAAGCTTTAGCAATAAACCGAAACAACTGTTCATTGAAGAACAATTTGATAGCAAATGATGATGATTAGTATGAAGAAGATACGGGCAATATTTTGAGAAGAGTTTAAGGAGAAATATAAAAAGATGGAGGATGATATGAAGTGGAAGCTCGTATGTACTGGACGAGTAGTGGAAGATATAATTTACGAGTCAATTTCAGATTTTAAGTCTGAACAGTAAGTATAATGAACTAACATTTAAAATTTTTTAGTATTTCTGATCTAACTTGCTTAATTTTGCAATAGTTTAATACATTCATTTACGATTGATGTCGATGATCCGAACGTCAAAGGAATATTCTTTTCCGCCGAAATTAGATGAAATTTATTCGGCGAATGTCAAGGAAGAAGGTGCATTAAGTTCTGAGTTATACGAAAGTCTTGCAAAATATTATGAAAAAGTCAGTGAAAAACTTGTTATTAATATTGATTATTATGTAACGGCTAATATTATTTGTCCAGACTAGTGTGAATGAAATTAGAGGTCATGAAAGAGACTGCTCTTGGCGATTACAAAACCGACACCCTTAATTATTCAGTTCAAAGCTTGTAAGTATAGTATTAAGTATTGAATGATAACAACATGAACAGCATGTTAATAATTTAATGTATTATTTACAGATATACGACAATATGAACGAAATCCAAGTGCTTTCTATATTGAAACATAAATGCGTGGGGGCCAACCATCGATAAAGTATATGATGATATTGTAAATTTTAATGTTGTTCGGTAAGTAATAGTTAGAATTGAAATTGTATGAATATTATTATCTTTATAACTAACATAAATTTTAAAACTAGAGGTGAATCATCAAGCCTCGCAAGTTCAGAACGAAAGAATCGCAGTCGTACTATAGAAGAAATGGGACGAAGGGGATGCAATCTTCCGAAAGTCTTCTGGAGGAATAAGACTTGAATTCGGAGGTTCAGAAGCTAGTAGACTTTACGAGTAGGGATGATCGGTCCTGGTAAGACCGGTCTTAGACCGGTTAATGGGACTGGTCATTGCGGTCCTCTGTCCATATTCCGAGGACCGGCCCTTGGACCGAAAAAAGATGAAAGAACGGTTTTTTGACCGACCAGACCGGACAGGACCGATCCAACCCTAATTCCGAGGGATGGAATTGAAAAAAATGGCTTATGAATCAAGTCTTAAGCTTCCGAAAATGATGCAAATTTGGATAAGAGAAAAATAGAAGAAATGGAAACCGTTGGGTATATTCACGGTGGTATGATATCATCATTACATTTTCTTCTATTGTCGGAAATTTTTCTAAATCTCATTTACTTTCCAGGGTTAGTCTTAATGGTCATGACACTTGACCTTCCAGTCGGTTATATAACGCGCTTAATTAAAAGTGAGCTATATCGCATTCCGGAGGATATCGGATCTTTTGGGAAAGCAATAGAATTAATTACAGCTGTGTGGAAAAGTAAGGTAGGTAGTATTTACATTTGTTTAGTTTTTATATTTAGGTTAATTCAATCATATATTGTCTTGCAGATGCGAGTTGTCCGAACTATAGAAATATTAAAAAGCAGTGAAGAAGATATTGTTAATCATCTGAAAAATATTACCACTCGCAAAAATTAATCGCCAAACCAATATTACAGTCCCCGGCGAAAAGAATGGCGGTTTAAATACCGCATCTATTTTAGGCCGAAACGTAAACCGCGTTTCCGATA